GGGGGGGGGGGGGGGGGGGCAATGCATTCGTCCTGCTTTTTGTGGCCCCGGGAAAATGGGCACACCGGCCAATCCTCCCGAACACCACCTCCGCATCTCCCCCTGGTACACGGATGAACCTTGTCCCTCCCCCGGAGACACCTATTAAGGGTGGACTATTATCTCTTGCCTTTGTCGCACAATATACATGCATTTGCGTGGCAGATGTGCTGGCGGGGGAACAGAAATGGGCAAGCGGCACACCGGAGGGGGGGAGGGGGGGGGGGGGGATCGCATCACGCCGATGTGACGCGCGCGTCGGCGCCCCTCCCTCCATCCTCCTATGGTGGCGTGTTGACAACACCCACACATGCACATGCCCATGCCCTCCCTTGCTGTGGGGGATGGCAGGCGGCTCTCATGAACACAAGGGCTGTATATTGGAATCTGAAATGCGGGGAGCAGAGGAACAGCGCCACTCCGCAGGAGGGGGAGGAGAAAGAAAGGGGGAGAGAGAGGAGGGGGGGGGGGGACGCGTGTGCACGCGCACTAGTTCTGGAGAGACTCGGCCAAGACGGCGACCATCTGCTCGGCGGTGTGGCGATCGGCGGGGTTCTGATGCCAGCCGGCGCGAGCCACCGTGATCAGAGTCTGCAGCTCCTTCGGCTGCTTGGAGGTGGGGGTCTTGAGCCAGCGGTTGCTGATGTCCTCGTTCTCCAGAGGGAGGCGCTCGCCGCCGGTCACGCGCTCCTGGATGTCGTCGATGGCCACACCGCGCCACGGGACGCGCAGGGTGATCAGCTCCCAGACAATGACCGAGAAGGCGAAGACATCGGACATGCGCGAGCTCATGTCGTCCAGGACGTTGCCGCTGGTACGGGCGTTGAACAGCTGCACGGTGACACGGGAGGGCCCCGCGCCCGGGGGGGGGGGGGGGGGAGAAAGAGTCAGACAAGGGCAACCAGTCCCGGGGGACAAAAGGGGGGAGGGCAGATAACCCGAACACAGGCGCGAGGAGAGAGAGAGAGAGAGAGAGAGAGAGAGAAGGGACGCACCTCGGGCGAGGCGTAGCGGGCCGAGAGACCGTTGACGGCGATACCCCGGATGACCGAGAGGTTGTTGAGGTTACGGGCAAGACCGAAGTCACCGATGGCCGCGTTCATGCGACCATTGGGATCGACCTCGATGAAGACGTTGGCGGCCTTGATGTCGCAGTGCACGATGTTGCTCTGGTGGATGGCGTTCAGGCCGGTGGCTGTGGTGCGCGCGTTCGGGCGGGGGGGAGAGAGAGAGAGAGAGAGAGAGAAAGAGAGGATGATCGGCAGGTCAGTCACGCTGGTGGTGTGGATGGAGGGGGGGGGGGCTGTCAGGAAGAGTGGTGGTCTCTTGCCGGCACGCACCGATCATCAGGGCCAGGTCCAGGGCCTGGAGCATGGTGAACTCGCGACCGCTGGAGATCATCGAGCCCAGATCACCCTGATAGAGCTTGGTGACAATGGCCGTCGGGTGGACGCAGAAGCCGCAGATGAGGGCAATGTTGGGCACATTCTGGAAGGACCACATGATGGCAATCTCCTGGTAGAACATGTCCATGGCGCGCTGGTGCTCGAGGGCGTTGGTCTCCGGGTTGGGGACTGAAGAGAGGGGGGATGTCAGTGAACACAAGCCATCAGGCGAGGTGGAGAGGGAGAGAGGGGGGGAGAGAGGGGGGAGAGGGGGGAGAGGGAGAGAGAGAGAGAGAGAAGAAAGAGAGAGAAAAGAAAAAGAGAGAGAGAGAGAGAGAAAAGAAAAAGAGAGAGAGAGAGAGAGAAAAGAAAAAGAGAGAGAAAAAGAAGAGGAGAGGAGAAATGATCGACACAGGTGGACACATACGAGTGATGGCCTTGAAGGCAACGCGATCCACACCGTGAGACTCCTTGATGGAGAGATTGAGCATATCAGCACTGAACACATTGGCCTGACCACCGGAGCCGAGCAGCTCGTCGATACGGATGTCGCTCTCGAAGTTGAGCTCCAGCGAACCGGGGATGGAGAGCTCCAGGATCGTGTTGATGATGGTGGCCTCCTGGTCGTCGTCGCGCTTCTCGCGGGCCTTGCGCAGGAGGGCCATGGTGGCCTCGGTGTTGATCTCATGGTTGCGGCGCTGCATCTCGGCCTCGTACTCCTTGACCTGCTTGTCACGACGGCGCCGGAGGTAGATCAGCAGAATGGCCAGAGCCACCAGCAGCAGAAGGGCCAGGCCGACAACCACACCGACGATGATGCCGATGCGCTTGGAGGACTTGCTGGCAGCTGTGCCGGGAGGAGGAAGACCGAAGGCCGGGCACGGAGGCAGGGAGAGGGGAAAGGACAGGCGGGAGCGTGTCAGACACATCGATGGCGATCCCCCGGGCGGGAGGGGGGGGGGGTCCGAGGGAGAAAGAGTTGGGAGGAAAAAGGGCCGGAGAGGAAAGGAGACGTACGGAGGCAAACCTTATCCTCGGGCACGAAGCCGGGCGGGCATTCGCTGACGCAAATGTCATCATGGATATACCGGATGCAATTTCCATTGCAATCGGACAGCTCGGGACCGGTGCAGCTGGAACACAGGGAGTGGCACTTCAGGCAGGTGGGGTAGATCGGATCCTTATCAAGGTAGAAGGGCGGCCCGTCACTGCCACTGCTGGAACCAGAGGCAGGGGCCGAGCCAGAGGTAGAAGTCGAGCCAGACGCAGGGGCCGAGCCAGAGGTAGAAGTCGAGCCAGAGGCGGGGGCCGAGCCGGAAGCAGGAGCCGAGCCGGAAGCAGGAGCCGAGCCGGAAGCAGGAGCCGAGCCGGAAGCAGGAGCCGAGCCAGAGGCGGGGGCCGAGCCAGAGGCGGAGGCCGAGCTAGAGGCAAAGGCATCCATGGACAAGGGCGGGTTGTAAATGGGAGAACCGCTAGACGACTGAGAACCGCTGGAGGGCTGGGAGCCGCCGCTGGAAGACTGCGACCCGCCGGCCGGGTGGGAGGGATAGTACGCGCCGGAGCAGGTCTCCCGGCAGGCACCCGCCCCGGGCACAACACCGGCCTTAAAGCGGTAGTAGTTCGGCTTGCAGGAGGTGCACCCGGTGGACTGGCTGTCGATGCAGGTGAGACAGCCCTCGGCGCAGTTGACACAGCGGTTGTCCACCCCCAGGACACTGCCGGAGGGGCAGGAGTCCATGCACTTGCCCTCGAAGATGACCTGGCCGGCCGGACAGGCGGTGCAATTGTCCGCGGAGGTGGTGCACCGCAGGCAGCTGCTGGAGCAGGGCTCGCACGCGCGGCCCGGGGCACCGAAGAACCCATCCGGGCAGGAGGCCACACAGCGGTTTTGGTGGAAGAAGGAGGAGGGCGTGCAGGCGGTGCAAATGATGTTCGGATCGTCGGCGGGCTGGGAGCCGGACCCGGAGCCGGACCCGGGCCCGGAGCCCGGCATGGACCCGGACCCGGACCCGGAAAGGGACCCGGAAATGGACCCGGAAATGGACCCGGACCCGGAGATGGAGGCCGAGCCGGAAAGCGAAGAGCCCGAGGCCTCCAGCAGGCCGGCCCCGCTGCCATGGTCGTAGGTACAGGCCGAGCAGTTCTTGGGGCAGGGCCCACAGGTGAAGTTCACGTCGTCGGTGTAGTGGCTGGTCGGGCAGGTGGTGTAGCAAATGTCCCCACTGGAGTAGGTGCCCGGGGTGCAGATGTCGCACTTGCCGACGGCGGAGCAGACATCGCAATTGTGCGGGCACTCGACACAGTAGTTGGGCCCGGTGCCGCTGCCACCGGCAGACGCATCGGCATCGTAGAAGAACCGGAAGGGGCACGACTGGGTGACATCCTGCGGGTCCTTGACCAGGCAAATGTGCCCGCGCGACAGGACATTCAGGGCAATGGTGGAGGTGGTGTCGCAGGAGATGCACTCCCCGGCCTGGGGCCCGGAGCAGGTGTTGCAGGACCGATCACACGGGTAGGCATCATTGCCCAGCCGGAAGTAGCTCAAGCCCTCCGGGGTCGGGGCATCGAAGGTGTTGATGCACTGGTGGGAGTCCTTGAGCGAGGCATAGCCCGACTGGCAGAGGACACAGGATGACGGCCGGCCGGAGCACGACTGGCAGGAGGGATCGCACCGGAGGACCCCGGGGATGGTGATGCTGGAGTTGATGACAATGCCACCGGGGATGCCGGGCTTGCCGATGATGCTGATGGAGGAGGAGTTGGAGGGGGGCACATCGCAACTGCCGCCGGAGCCGGAAACCGGATCGAAAGGCGACAGCACGGCATCCTGGAAGCACGACGTGCAGGGGGGCTCAAGGTCATCGGAAATGCAGGATGGGCAATTGCTGCACAGCTGGCAGAAGTCCACCATCAAGGCCGAGCCGACCGGGCAGCCGCCATTGCTGGCGATGTCGATCGAGGAAGACCCGGAGGGGATGGGAATGCACTGGCCCGGGTCCGTTTGGGACTTGCTCAACAGGCGATGGCCCGGATGGCAGAAGGCACAGGCAGCCGGCGAGTGGTGGACCGAGCATTCGTGGCAGGAGGAGTGACACGGGAGGCCGGATTCGGAAATGAGACTCGGCAGGGCACACTGGTAGGTGCTGTAGTCGAGCAAGTGCGAGGAGGTGCACTTGACACAGCGGCCCTCCCCGGCGATGGTCACCTGGCGATTGCAGTTGGGGAGCGAGGAAACCTGGTCCTCGCAGGTGCCATCCGGCAGGGGGCTGCCCATGTGGCAGGCCGTGCACATGACCTTCTGGGGGCAGGCCGTGCCACTGCCGCCGCCGCCGCCCGGGCAGTCGTCCACAATGTCGCACTCCCGGCAGGCGGCCGGGCAGTGCTTGCAATACTTGAAGCGATCGCTGGTGAAGGGGTGGAAGCCCGGCGAGCAGGAGGAGACACATTGGAGATCGTGGCTCAGGAGGAAGCCCTCCTTGCATTGGAAGCAGACATCGGCCACGAAGCACATGCCGCAATTGGCCTGGCAGGGCTTGCACACGCCGTTGTCCAGGAAGTAGCCGCGCTCGCAGGCGGTGCAACTGCCGGACGACACCCCGACGCACGTCAGGCAAGTGGTGTTGGTGGGATCCGGGAAGTAGCCCGGGGGGCAGTAGGCCACGCAGAAGTCCTGATGCAGGTACATGCCGGCGTCGCAGGTGTCACACCGGGTGTGATCGGTGCAGGTCTTGCAGGAGCTGTCGCACTTGGAGCACACCTTGGCCGTGGAGTTGATGGGGGTCTCCAGGAAGAAGCCCGGCAGGCACTGGGTGCACTGATCCGGCGCGGTGCAGTCAAGGCAGAACTTGGAGCAACCGGTGCACGCGCTGGTGGTCGGGTCGGAGAAGGGGATGTTGGGATGGCAGGTCGGCACGCAGGCGCCGCCCTGGAGCACGTAGCCCGAGGAGCAGACGCAAACGCCGCCATTGCAGGACCCGCAGGACTTGTGGCACTCCGACAGGAGGGCCGACCCGATGGCACCGGCGAAGGAGGGGGACCAGCCGTGCGAGGAGTGCTGGTCGAGGGTGTCCAGCTCGTCGGCGGCCATGGGCGAGGGGTCATTGGCCGGCCGGGCGGCAGAGCCGGCGGCGGCCGCCTGACAGAGGAGGGCCAGCAGCAGGGCCAGCAGCAGGGCGGGCAGCCGGCCGGCTGCCGAGCCCCCGACAAAGCGGCTCAGGGACATGGCGGCAGGTGGCGCGAGGGTGTGCGTGCGTGCGCGCGTGCGTGCGTTGTGAAGGGGTTGCTCTCGCTCTTTTTAGCCGGATGGAGGCTGGCGGGGCCGGGGGGGGAAGGGGGGTGAGTTGGAGGCGCGGCGGGGTGTGGGAGGGAGCAAGGGGCCGGAACATGGTCGTACCAATGGGAAAAGGGCGAGCCGGGGAGGGGGGCGGAGGGGAGTTGAAGGGCAATCGGGGGGAAAGGGGCAATCGGGTGGGGGAGAGAAAGACGGGGGGGAGGGGGGGGGGGATCCTGCCATGGAGGGGGGCCTGCCGGGGCGAGCGGCGTGGGCTCGCGCGAGGCCGCCACAAAAAGGGGCAGCGAAGCCTTTGGCCGGGGCATTGCCCGGCGGCCGCGCGGATGCGACCTGGTCCCCGGGTGCGGTCTTACTGCCGCCTGGCGGCGGGGGGGGGGGCGGGGACAATCACGCTGGCCGGGTGAGCATGCCGGGACGTGGATGCCCGGGCGTGTACGTGTGTATGTGTGCAAGCGCGCGCACCTGGGGGTTTATGTGTCGCTGCAAGAGAGAGAGAGAGAGAGAGAGAGAGAGAGAGAGAGAGGTCGTGGGAGGGGGTGCGCGGGAAACTCCGGCGACGGAGAAGGCCCAGGACCCCCTCCCCGGCACGCCCCCCGGAGGTCGCGCGCCGGATGCGGGGATGTGTGCGCCCTCTGCGGCTTGTGGGGGGGGGGGGGGGGGGACGGGGGCGGAGCCGCGTCCGCGTGCCAAAAGGGGCAGCGACTCCCCGGGGTCGGGCTGCTGGAACACGGGCGAGATCCCCCCGGTCTCAGATCCGCGCTCCATGGGCGAGCGAAGCACGCCTCTCAGCCGCCCCCCGATGCACGCCGCGCGTGTGCGCGCGAGGGGCGCGCCCGGGCGGGTGGGGGGGGCCTCCTCCTCAACTCGACCGCAGCCCCGGCCGCCCCGGGGCCCTCACGCCTCCTCCCCCGGGCCAGGCATTGCGCGCCGGCCGCCGCAGTGGGCGGCCCAGCACACACCGCGAGGGGGGGGGGGGGACGAGCGAGCCCCTGACTTTTTTCAGCAGCGGGCCCGGACGCAGGACAAGACCGGCGCCGGTCGGCGGGCCCTGGGGGTGGGCCTTTATGGGTCCGGCTAGGCGGGGGGCGGGGTCGCCCAACGGCCATGGCCGGGACAAGGCGGGCGAGGGGGGAGGGGGGAGAAAAAACCGTCTCCCAGCGCCCCTCCCCCCCCCCCGCGCCCGGCCGGCGGCGGTTCACCAGGCCGCAGGAATGCTCCGCGAGGGGGGGATGGGATGGAGGCCGGCCGGAAGGAGTATGGGCGAAGGGCCGGGCTGGCCGAGGGGGGCCGGTCCGCCTCGCATACACAACTTACCGGGAGCCCCCCGGCCGGCACCCGAGGGGCGGGGGCGCCCCTCGCCGGAGGGCATTCCTCGCTTCGGCCCCTCGGCCTGATCACCAGGCCGAGAGCCCGGCCGGGGGGAGGTGGCTGGCGAAGGCCGCCGGGGGAGGAGGGTGCTGGCGTCTGCCGCAGCCGGCCCCCCCCCCCCCCCGGCCCCGGAGGAGACAACAGCCAGGGGGCCGGCGTCTGCCAAGGAAAGGTGAAGTGCCGGGCTCCTGCCCCGGGAGGACAGGCCGGGTTCTTTTTTTGCACACGGCCCCGGGGAGCCTTCCCTGGCTCGGGAGATTGGGTGATATATAATATTGGGATTTATATTGCACCGGCGCGCCCCTGGCGTTGCCGGCCGGTCTATCATCGGCAACACCGGCCGGCTGCCGGTGCCGACGTGCGCGCGCACACAGGCGCCGGAGGGGAACAAGGCTGCGCCCGGGGGGGGGGGGGGCAGTGGGACGGCGCCGCCAGCGACGCCGGTCTCCCCCGGGACAGAAGGCGGACCAGCCGCGGGAGCAGGCGTAAGGGGCCGTGTCCGCCGGCCCCCCCCCCGGCCGGTGCCGAATGGGGGTCAAACCCAGGTCGAGACGGATGCACCCGGCCTTCGCAGGCCTCTCCATGTCTCCCGGGCCGTGCTCTCCCTGCCCGCACGCCGCCGCCGCGGCACGCCCCCACCCCCTCCCGCCGGTCCTGCCTCTGGTGGGTCTTCCGCGCCGTGCCCGGCACCGGCCGGTCTTCACCCTCCTCCCCCCTCGATGCATCGTCGGGAAATAAACAAAGAGCCAGTGCGGGCACCCCGCAGCCCTCCGCGCACGCGCACGCGCACACGCACACACACACACACACACACACACACGCACCTGCATGTGCGCACTTAATCACCCAACGGGCAACGTGCCTTTCCCCCCCCCCTGCTGCCCTCCTCGCCCGGTGGCCGGTCAAGGCGGCCCCCGGTCGGGCGAGTCACCCTCGGCCCGGCGTGGCGTGTCGGCACGCGCGGCCTTGGAGACGAGCCTGCCCCCCCTCCAGGCAGGCTACGCCATGCCGTCGGCGGCCCCCCCCCCCCCCATCCCTCTCTTGTCTGTCTCCCGGCGGTTGGTCATGCCCAGGCTTCGCCCTCTCTCCCTCTCCCTGTCTCTGCCTCGGTTCCTGCCCGTCCCCCCCCCCGCCCGTCCCGCGCGCGCGCGCGCGCGCTCGCCACCGTTCGCCCTCAACCCTGCAACCCCGGGAGGGGATCACGCGACGGAGAGATCACATGTGTAGACACAGCAGACCCAGGCCCCCTAGTACAGGTCCGGGTGCACCAGCACCGCCGGCCCTGCGAGCGAGTGGGTCGGCATGTCGTGCGTCAGGGAGGGATCGCAGTTGTCGAGGCAGCTGTAAACCAACACCGTGCCAAAGTCCAGGAGCTGCTGCTGCTGCTGCTGCTGTTGCTGCTTGGGGCGCGCCGGGGCCCCGCCCCCGGAAGAGGTGGTCGCAATGCCCAGCGCCTCGGCCAAGGCGGCAGGCAGCGGCCCCCCAGGGGCCTGGCCAGGCGCAGCAGCTGCCTGTTGCGCGGCTGCCGCGTCGGTGGGCGTGAGCAGGCGATTGCCACACAGGTCCAGCTGGCTGATGAGGGCCGGCATGAGCTGCACTTCGAAGACCGACACACCGCCGCAGTTGGCACACCGGGGGGACTGCTCGCTGCCGGAGGCCGGTGACAGGGCCGGATCGTCGGAGAAGGCCAGTGGCCGGCCGTCAATGCCGTTGGAGTAGCTGCGTGCGGGAGGGAGAAGGAGACCGGGGGCCAGGGACATGTGTGAGCGCGAGGGGAGGGACACGCGAAAGGGGAGGAAAGGTGGGGAAAGGAGGATGGAGAAGAGGAGAGGACAAAGGAGAAAGGCGAGGCGCGCAGGCGATCATGGAGCCGGGCCACGCACCGGATCGACTGCCCGGGGTAGGCGGCCACCGCGGCCTGGAACCGGACCAGAGAGTCATCCACCCCGCGGAAGGATTGGACCTCATATTGCTCACCGACCCAGGAGGCCTGGGCCTCGGTGATCGAGCCCTTCTCGTCGCCGGCGGTGTCGGGCCCCGGCGGGGCTGCGGCGGCGGCGGCGGTGGCGGCGGCCGCACTCTTGGCAGCCTTCTTCTCCACCGAGGCCAGGAGCTTGTCGATGGAGCCGTGCTCCGCCTCATACTGACGCAGGAGCTCCTGCTCGTGCTTGGTCAAGCTCCCCAGGGCACGGCCGGGGGGAAGTGCGTCGGCCTCATCATCCGAGCTGTCCAGGAGGCCGGTCTGCTGCTCGGCGACCCCGTCGAGGATGTGGCACTGGGTGACGTATGGGTGGTCCAGCGACACGAAGGCCTCGAGGCCCGACGCGCCGGGTGCCAGACTGGCCGCGGCTCCCGCCGGCCAGCCGGTGACCTTGCTGTTGTCTGTGGCCCAGGCATTCTTGTTGTTGGTGGGGGCAGGGGCGGCGTCATTGCTACCACCCCAAGCATCCTTGTTGCCGGCAGTGCCCCAGGCATCCGTGTCACCGACGCCCCAGGCGTCCTTGTCGGCGGCGCCAGGGGAGCCAGTGTCGCCGGCAGCGCCCCAGGCATCCTTGTCGCCGACGCCCCAGTCGTCGTCCATCGCAAAGAGGGGCGCCGCACGGGGCTTGGCGGCCAGGGGCGTCGGGGTCGCTTCAGCCGGGAGCCGGAAGTCGGCGAGCGGGATCTGCGAACGGAAAACCCGCCAGGCACCGGGCGAGGCGGCCTTCTGGCAACCGGCACCCAGGCACGCGAACACATGGAGCAGGCGGTGGTGCTCGTCATCGATCGGCGAGTACACTGCCCGGGGGAGGACCACATCCATGTCAGGCCACCGAGGAGGGCGAGAGGGAGCGCATGAATCCGAGACAGGGAGGTGGCACGGGCAACGTGGATGATTGCGCACCCTGCAGCAGGAAGGTCATGGTGGCGGTGCACAGCGGGCAGGCCAGCTGGTCGAGCGTCGGAGCGAGGGCCTTCTGCAAGAAGAGCTGGGCGACACGGCCATCCGGGCGCGGGGAGCGGACGAGGGAGGGAGAGAGAGAGAGAGAGAGAGAGGGGGGGTCAGAGCATGTGGCATACAGGCGCCGGGAAGGCCGCCGATCTGGCAGGCCAGGCGGGCAGACACACTCATGTGTGCGTACCGGCGGCCCGCCAATGCGCGTGTGGTGCGCCTGTGCCAGGCGCGCGAGGAGACGGCGCGGGAGCGGCTGACGCTTGGCCGGGTCGGCCTGGTACTTGGGGACACCGGCGACCCGCTCATACGGGATGCCGATCAGCACATCGGCGACCATGGTGTGGGGCTCCTCCACGACCGGTGCGGGGCGGAAAGGGTGGGGCGAGGGGTAGAGAGAGAGAGAGGGGGGGGGGCGAGTGGTTCACACGAGATGGCAGGGGCGGCGATGGTGCCCGCCGGCCCCGATGCCTTTTCAGCCCGCGCCCCCCCCCTGGCCCGGGCGTGGGCCGGCAGATCGCGGCGTCGCACATGGCGCCGATTCGTTGGCACTCGGCCGACCGGCATGCCCCCCCCCAAGAGACCGCGCCGTGGGTGGAACGTGTCCGGGACCGGGCGATCCGTCACCGCTCCCTCTCCCCTCCTCCCTTTTCCTCCCCTCTTTTCCTCGGGATGACTTCAATCCTCTTGTCGGTTGTGCAGCACTCGCGGCGGTCCTTCCTCAGCGGGTATCCCTCGCTGGGGCCGATGTCCAGGCTGCTGGGCGCCTACGAGCGCGAGCATCTGATGGGCGGCGCGGCGGATCCCGCGCCTGGCCCCGCCTCCGGGGACCCTCCCCCGGCGAGTCCGGACCTGCCGGCCTTCATGATGCAGATGCACGCGCAGCGCGTGGTCCTGGAGCAACTTGCGCGCTTCATCCGCCACCAGGACACGCTGACCTCGGAGCAGGCGGCCGCCGACCATGTGGCACATTTCCCCGGGGGCTTTACCGTGGAGCTGGACCACTCGCCGGTCCATGGGACCGGCGTCTTTGTGCGGGGCTTCGCCCCGGCCGGATCGGTGGTCACCCTGCATCCGGGCATTGTGGTGCGCCTGGCCTTTGCCTTGCCCCCGGCCCTCCTTCTTCTTTCTGATGATCCTTCCCCTGCCACTTCATTGCCACACGGGGGCATCCCGGCGGGTTTGTGCTTGGATCGCCCCCTCGCCCCACCTGCTGGTCGCCACTGACCTCTCTCTCTCTCTCCCCCCCCCGGCCGATGCGGCCACAGTTCACGCCGTCCCTCTTCCGAACCCTACAAACCATGCGGCCTCTGATGGACCCGCATTGCAAATTGGCCCGGGCCGACTCGCTGGTCATCGAGGCCTCCGGGTACTTCCCCTCGCGGGCCTTCACGCCGCTGGGGCTGGAGAATGGCCAGCACCCGGCGGCGGTGGCCAGCGCCATGGAGCACAGCGCCCCCGGCATCGACCCGGTCAATGACTATATCTTCGGGCTCTTCCGCCGGGCGGGCCAGGCCCTGCGCGGGGGCCCGCGCAAGCCGGAGGATGTCAGCTACGATGGGGGCCTGCTGGCAACCAATCACTTCCCCCATCTGGATGGGGTATATGCGCCGCAGAATATCCCGGCCACGCCGCTGGGGTTCGGGCATTTCCTGAATCACCCGCCGGCCGGGGCCCCTGGCGGCCCCTCGGTGGCGCCCTTCACGGTGAATGTCCCCCTACGGCGGACGGGCGCCAATGAGGCCACGATCCGGACGCTGTTGACCCCGCCGCCGGCCGGCGTGCCGATGGAGGCCGTGGTCCGGTCTTTCCAGGACATCTTCGCCCTGCCGCCGGGCACCTGGCTGCAGCACATCCCCTCGCGCTTCCTCAGCTCGCCGCACAATGACATCTTCATGATCGTGGAGGACCTTTACCTGCGGTCGCTCCTGCTTCGCAGCAAGTTCCGCGATCGCCACAACCGGCCCCCGGGCGGGCAAGAAATCTCGGCCAATCTCTTCACCAACCCCACCATCCCGACCGTGGCGTATGTGGCCACGCGTGACCTGCAGGATGAGGAGATCTTCGTCGAGTGCGTGTTCCTTCGTTCTTTCATCTGCCTCCTCCCGCCCGCTTCCTCTGGCTCCCCCACATGGGCGCGCACTCTCTCTCTCTCTCTCTCTCTCTCTCTCTCTGTTTGGCCTTCATGCTGCATGGATGTGCGATGTCTCTAACCGCCTGGGCATCATGCGGCTCCTGGATCGAAGTTACGCGCTGGATGTCTCGTCTGACCTGCCCGACTGGTACACTCCCGTGTCCCAGGAGGGGGAGCAGGCCTGGTGATGCATCCGAGATGTGCGCATGTGCGCGCGTGTCACGGCCCTCGCGCCCGATGGTGGGGGCAAGTGCCGGGGACAATATAAATGCCAGCCACCGGGAGCGCCATCATGCGGAAGACAGAGGGGGAGGGGACAAGTCTATTTGTATTGCATGCTGCCGTGCGGGTGCGGGTGCGGGTGTGCGTGGACGCGGCAGATGGGGCGGGGGCGTGGTCATGCGTGCGCGCCGGCCCCATGGCCAGGGCTCACTTGTTCGAGCGGCGCTTGGAGGCACCGCCCGACGACTTGGAGACCACCTGCGTGGTGCTCTCGTCGTCGTCCTCCCCGGTGGCGGCGGCCGCGGCATTGGCCAGGGACTTCTTGTGCCGGGCAACATCCTCGGCGGTGGAACGGTCCTCGATGACGGCCACCACGATGTACGCGAAGAGGACCAGGTGAACCATGGCCACGGTGAAGCCAGCCGCCCAATAGGTGCCAACTGGGGGAGAGGTGCGTGCGAGTGTGCGAGTGTGCGTGCGTGCGTGCGTGCGTGCGTGCGTGCGTGCGTGCGTGTGCGTGCGTGCGTGCGTGTGTGAGTGTGCGTGCGTGCGTGCGCGTGCCGGTGGGTAGGACCCCGAGAGCCTGCGTGGGATGCATGAGGCGGACGCACACTTGAAGACGTTGGTGCTGACGAAGTAGGTGATCAGCGGCAGGGCAAGCATGGCGATGCTGAACATGACCAGCTTGGCGACAACGGCGCCGGGGACCTGCGGCAGGACGGGGGCCTGCTCCGTCGTCTTGTCGGAGGTCTGGATGGTGGACATGGTGGGCTTTTTCTTTCTCGCGCGCGGAGCAGAGGGGGGGGTGGGGGAAAAAGGGGGGAGGAGGAAGGGCGGGAGGAGTGGGATGGTGCGGCGGCAGGGACCCGCGGAGGCGCGCGCGGCCACTCAAAAAGGCCCCCCCCCCCCCTCCTGCGCCAGTGGCCAGCCGGGAAGATGCGCTGCCGCTGGCCTGCGCGGGCGGGGCCCAGGCTGGCCCTTGGTGGGGCCGGCCACGCAAGCAATCGCCCGGGCGAGGGCCTTCTTCCGGGGCGTTCCAATCGCCGCACCCGGGCCGGCGCCGGCTCCCCGGCCGAGGGGGCAGCCGGGGGGGGGGGGGGGGGGGCGCGCGTGTTGGCGCGGGCCGCGAACGAGTCATGAAAATTCCTTCGCAGAGCGCGGGTCACGTGCGAAAAGACGTACATTTCCGGCATGGACCCTGGCCCGGGGGGGGGGCGCCCCCCGCCGGGGGGGGGGGGTTTGTGGGGGGGGTGCAGACGCGCGGCCCGGGCCGGCGCCGGCTCCCCGGCCGAGGGGGCAGCCGGGGGGGGGGGGGGGGGGGCGCGCGTGTTGGCGCGGGCCGCGAACGAGTCATGAAAATTCCTTCGCAGAGCGCGGGTCACGTGCGAAAAGACGTACATTTCCGGCATGGACCCTGGCTCCGGCCGGGGGGCGCCCCTCGCCGGAGGGGAAAAAGCAGTGGCAGCGCCGGGACCGAGCCCCCTGCCGGCCTCGCCCGAGCGGGGCCATTCCTTGTCGCGCGCCGTGTTCTTCCATGGCTGGCGGCGGCGGCGGCGGTGTGCCTGTGTCTGTGCCTGTGCCTTCGAGTGTGCTTGGGCGCGGGATCCGTGCTCCCAAGCGATGGGGGGTGCTGCGTGCCCGCTTCTTTCGCCCGGGTGGGGTGTCTTCTGACGGAGAAGGGGGAAATGCGCGCGGGGCCGCGCCGCGGGGCCAGGTTCCCTGGGGCCTAGCGTCCGCCGCCCATATCTCCCGCCCAAGCGGCCGGGCGCTGCTCGGCCCCGGGGTCCGAGGTGCGCGCGCGCGCGCAGTCGCTGCATTTGGCTCGGATCGCCCGCTCTATTGGCGGGGGGCAGGCGGAGCGAGGGGGCAGGCCTGCGGGAACCCCACCGGGGGAGCCCGCCGTTCCAGGGGCCTGGCCCCCGACGGCCTCCTTTCCCGGGCGTTGTCTCGGCCCGGCGCGACGACTCGTCCCCCGGATGGCGCTTCGTCCACAGGGGCCCCTCCTCCCGCCGGGGAAGGCGCCGATCTTCGGCTTCCTCGGCGTCCTTTCACGCTCCGGGAGGCGGGGGGTGTTTTTTCGGCTGCTGCCGGAGACGCAGCGCCATGGCCGCCTGGCATCCCGCTCCGGCTCCCCCTTACGCCTCCCCCCCCTGTCCCTCTCGCCCTTCCTCTTATTCCCCCCCCCCCCCCCCTCCCAGGCCTCCTCTGTGCCTCATCTCCCCCACAGGGCCCGTGTACGATGCTTAGGCGTCGCGCCCGTCGCATCGGCAAGAAGGCCGAGAAGTACAAGTTCTCCCTCACGGTCCAGTATGCGGACTTGCAGTTCCAGAGCGGCTGGTGCGTCAGCCGCGAGCCTGCTCTCGTGGGTTGTTTGTTTGGGGGACTGTCGGGATGCCGGCCCACTGACCCCTGTCGCCTGTGCCACTTGTTCATCCTCCCGTCGTTGGCCCACTGCCCGGGGCCCACCCATATAGGACCCCCCCGCCGCTGGTGATCCAATGGTCGCGCAGCGGCCGGCAGGCGACGACCGATGCCTCGGCCGTGCATGCCCCCATGTCGCCGGGGAACATGCGTGTCACTTGGGACCAGCCGCTGGTCATGGTGTCCACCCTGTACAAGGAGGCCGGGTCAGCCCTCTACGAGGTGAAAGACTATGCCATCCGCCTGTGTGAGGTGCGTGTGTGTGTGTGTGGATTGGATGGCGCCTGCTTGTTTTTTTTTCTCCTGCCTCCTCCCCCCGGGTGGCTAACTGGCGCCCCCCCCCTCGGTCCTTCGCCTTGTGCTGGTGTGCCCGGCCGCGTGCGAGCACAGGCTCGCGGGGACAAGGCCGGCCGACTCCTGGCACAGACGCACCTCAACCTGGCGGAGTATGCTTCCAAGACGCCGCAGTACACCCACGTCACCCTGGCCCTGACGACGCACGCCGAGGAGGCGGCCGCGCAGAAGGGCAAGAGTGGCCTGGCGGCGGAGATCCACCGGGCCATTGTCGGTGTCACCATCGGCTGCGAGGCCATTGCCGAGGGGGACAGGTGCGTCGGTCTTGTGGGCCATGTCGCCCGGATGTTGGTGGCCGTGTTGTTTTTGCTCCTTCCCCCCCCCCCCCCTTCTCTTGGGCGTTGCACCGGTCACTCGCTGTGGCGCCATAGGGCGCTGACGCATGGCCTCGCGCCTGCACCCATGCCCTTGTTCCCGCTCACGCCCCCATGTTGGCACCCCTGCCCGGGTCCTTGCTCACCCCCGCACCCCTGCCCGCACCTTCACCGGCCTCGCAGCATCTCGGCCTTCGACTCGATGTCCGACGTGTCGTCCATCCACCATGTGGACCATGGCTTCGATTCGGATGATGACCACTCCTCGCACATGGGCTCGCTGGCCACTTTCAATCAGAACAGCAGCGGCGGCGGCGGCGGCGGCGGCGGATCGCTGTGCGTCCTCCCCCTGGCTTTTCTTTCCCGCCGCGTCCTCCCTCCCATGCTAACCCTCCCCCGGGCCCTGCCCCCCCCCCCCCCCCTTTGCCGGCGCTCCAGCACTCGGTCCCCCTTCTCGGCCCAGTCCCTGCCCCCGGCGCCGCATCAGCTGCTGGCCGAGAAGTACGACGTGGCCACGGACCAGATGTCGGCCGACCAGCTGCGCACTCTCTATGCCGAGGCGCGCCTCAAGTACCAGGAGCAGATGATCATCCTGGAGACGGACCTCTTCCAGGTGGAGAAGGAGCTGGCCAAGACCCGGGTGCGTTTGTGCTTCTTCCCTTCCGCCTTTCGGCTCTTGCTCCTTGTCTGGCTCTCCTGCCCGCTTCTTTCCGTGTTCTCCCCCCCTTGCGTCCCGCCTCTCGCCTCTCGCCTCTCGCCTCTCGCCTCTCGCCTCTCGCCTCTCGCCTCTCGCCTCTCCCTGCGCCCTGGTCAATGTTCACCAGAAAGTGAGAGCGAGCCCGGGCCGGTCCACACCATCCTCGCGCTTCCTTGTCTGACGCTTCTCGGGCGCGGGTGCCACCACATGGGCGGGTCCCCGGCGAAATGTGGCCACAGGTTCGCCAGGCCGACGCGGCCTTCGAGCTGGAGTCCCAGCGGCACCTCCTGCGGAAGGTCCTGTCGGAAAACAAGCAGCTCCGCTCCCGCCTGCAGGACTCCACCGCCAAGATGACCAAGCTGGAGGTGATCATGGCCGAGCGCGGCGGGGGCCCGGCGCCCGGGGGCGTTGGCTCGCCAGCGCCCCCGAGCGGTGCCGGCGCCGCGGCGGCCAATCCCTTCGCCACCACCGGCAGCTCGTCCGGTCGGTCGACGGCCCCCTCCTCGCGGCAG